TATATATACTCTTGCATGTCTCTTGCGTAGCGTCAAAAAATATTTCCCATAAACTGTAGTTTTAAAGAGCGCGTTAATAAACCAGACCAGAAAAAGTTTTAAAAATTAAATTTTTTTTTTTAATTGATAGACTGCCTGGCCAAACCAAACCCTCAGTCGATGTAGCAGCACTCTCTTGCGAGTCAGGCTATTTGTCAGTCGTTGTAGCAGCACTCCCTTGCGAGTCAGTCTATTTGTCAGTCGATGTAGCAGCATTCCCTTGCGAGTCAGGCTATTTGTCAGTCGATGTAGCAGCACTCCGTTGCGAGTCAGGCTATTTGTCAGTCGATGTAGCAGCACTCCGTTGCGAGTCAGGCTATTTGTCAGTCGATGTAGCAGCACTCCGTTGCGAGTCAGGCTATAAGATAGTCGATGTAGCAACATTTACGCATGTTTAAAAAATGTTTTTTATTAAATCAATAACAAAAACACCACTAATTAAAAAAAACTTTCTAGTCGTTATAAAAAACAATTAAATTTAATGTACTTCCGCATAAATTAATTGCTTTGACATTTCGATGACAATCAAAAACAGCTTAAGAGACGAGGTAATTAAAATTGTAGTCGTAAGAGACTTTTTTTACATTAAAATGCTCTTAAAGCGACACTATATGAGTATATGTATATATATATATATATATATATATATATATATATATATATATATATATATATATATATATATATATATATATATACATATGTATATATACAGTGATATTTTCGTACACCAGAACCATATATATATGAACTTGCTTGTTTTTCTAGATGAGTTTGAGTAAACTTTGTGCTGGTAGGAAGAGGAATAGCTCAGTATAGAAATAGTTTAATTATGATGCAACATCCGACAAATCAATATGTTATTACTATAGTATTACTTGATGGGGAAAAAGTAAGCAATAAAAATTTGTGTGAAAAGAATCCAACAAGTCTTAAAACTAGTTTATCTGTTAGAAGAATTGTTTTCATTTTGAAACAAACGACTCATTTTTATCATTTTAGAGTAATTATTCAATAACGAATACAATTAAGCTTCAGGATTTTGTCAATCTTTTAAAACCTTTTGCCAATGAAACTGATATTCTTCAGACAGATGCACTTTCACTATCCAGTGTTATACCTTCGATACTTAATTTAGAATGTCATCTTGAGCAATTTAGAGATGCCAAAATGGTAGCAGTTAAAATGCTTGCAAATCTATGCCATCGTTTTGCCATTCTTTTGTTGCCAAACGATCCTAATTTTAATCTACTGCCAAGTGCCGCATGTCTACTTGACCCCACATGTGCAATAGCTCTTTTAGATAATGCACAAACCATAGAGTGTAAAAAGACATTTTTTAAAAGGCTAAAAAATCGGTGCAACATGATTTACATTTAGCAAGTGCATCTACTCTTTCTGCTGAGATTGCTCCAGAAATGAATTAACAAAATGGAAATTTTTAGCGGCAAAACAGCAAGTAGATAAAATAATTCTTAATTCAGGTAATGAAGCACAAAATGAACTCAAATATTTTATTGAAATAACAGCTCATTGTGCCAAAATGTTTTAAATTTCTGAAAGATGAGACACGCCATTTATCCACATATTGCACCATTAGCTGAAGACCTCATTGCAGCTCCTGCAACTCAAACATGTGTTGAAAGACTTCAAATGATTTTGAATGGACGAAGAAATTGAATGTCAGCACCATTAGAAATGCAAGTTTTCTTATAACTAAATTCTCATCAAATCTAGATGATAATCATATAATCACTAAGGTCTTTATTTGTAAAATATATGAGTAATTATTAAAGTCTATACAATAACTATTCATTAATTTTTATTGTTACCAAATTTGAGTTTTTTTTTTTTTTTTTAGTTATACCTAATAATTAAAGTTTTTTTAAGTTTTAGAGCAATAACGACAGGTTGTTGTTGTGTTTTTTATTCAGGGCGGTGGGCGGGGCTCTGAACCCTAGCTATGGCACTAGGTGTATAATGTTACATTTAATTAAGTTTTCACATTTTTTTGTTTGTTTATAGAACTAAGACCTTATTAGTTGTTTATAGAACTAAGAGTATGTATATATATATATATAAACAAGAGTATAATATATATATATTTATATATATATATATATATATATATATATATATATATATATATATATATATATATATATATATATATATATATATATATTATATATATATATATATATATATATATATATATATATATATATATATATATATATATATATATATATATATATATATATATATATGTCTATATATATATATATATATATATATATATATATATATATATATATATATATATATATATATATATATATATATATATATATATATGTATATATATATATATATTTATAAATATATATAAGGTTATATATATATATATATATATATATATATATATATAAATATATATAAGATTATATATATATATATA